TTTTCTAAAAAAAACTGCTGTCAGTACAGAGAATAAAACAGGTTTTATTTCTTCAGGCTCTTATAGTTAGATCAAAACAGAATGTCATGACGTATTGCACATTAAACCAGTCCTACATTAAAGCTAGTTTTGCTCCTGGTGGTTTTAGATGTGTGTGGTTTCTGGTTTGGTCTAGATGTACTGATAGTCATTTAGCAGGCCACAGTCCATCTGCACAGAACACCCCGAGGACAAATAAAAGCTCCAGGAAACTCATCTTTTATGCTTCCTTTAAAAGGAAATGCTTTATCATTTATGGCTTCTTCTTGTGGTTTTTCTGCCTGTGTGTCACTGTTGGATGTTTCATTATAAAAAGCAACAAGTTTATATTAAAAACATGATAAGCTTTCATAGGAGTTCCAAAAAGATATTCAGAATACATTTCATTTTTAACTTGATTACAACTTACTAAACATTTGTTCTAAAAATATATACAAAACAAATAAACAAAGTGATATTTTCACCATATCTCACAAAAACGTCCTGCTGGTTTTTATTTTTGTGGGAAACAATGCAGCAGTGGTATCAAGGTTTTATCACTATAGTAGTATTTAGTAGCAATAAATTTGTCATGTGTGTATTGGTTCCTTTTATTAAAATGTTTATTCTGTTCATTTCAGACCTGTTGTTTTCTTGCTGATTTTAATCAGTTTGTTAGCAAAATATCTTATGAACTGGAGTGGGTTTTAATGAATACTTGAAATAAATTTACAACGCTTTAATTTCTGGACCAATTTAAGATTCTAACCACAGCTAATTAACCGCAACTGGCACAAAAACAAAAGAAACACACCCCAGCATCGCCACAAATATGACGACGTAAGTCACTGAACTGAGAGAATCAGTTTTTGTTTTGGACCCTGGTCCTTGGTGAACCCAACACTACCAGGATGAAACAGTGGGAGAAAGGAGACCCCACCTCTCCCACCGTCTCCACTTTCATCTAAAATCTGTGTTGAGTCTTAGTTATCAGCATTTTTACTAACTGTTCCTCTGACTCCATCTGTCCAAGCAGAAATGACTCGTATCAGGTGACGCAGGACTGCAGGGGTGACTCCACAGCAAGGCTGCAGGTTGTGGGAGAAGTGAGGATTGTTGTGAAATATCATCTGTTTTGGGGGGAAATGATTCTACTGGTAGCTGTAGAACCTAAATAAACGTCACCATGTGGCAGTGGTCACCTCAGTCTGGCCCACTAATTTCATTAAAAAAAGTGTATATTTTCTTTTAAGATTTGAATGATAAATATTTCAGTCAGAGTGGTGATCCTGTTAGATAGATGATCTATGACAGGATTACACAGAGCAGTCTGGCAATATACGTGTGTGTGTGTGTGTGTGTGTGTGTGTGTGTGTGTGTGTGTGTGTGTGTGTGTGTGTGTGTG